AACTGCCGTTCATGCTGTTTCTGTCCTAATGTAAAATTCTCTTCTCATATAGGTGGGTAAATGCCATGGAGGAAGCCACAGTTTTATAGGATCAGCTACTCCGGGAGGGTTGCCGAAAATAGAAGTCTGCTGCCTTTCCTCTGCCCGAAAAAGGACTGTAAAACCAAGAACACACGATTGGGAGTAAAACACAATTTTTGATTATGTCTGCAAGTTGTTACTAGCCTGGCTGGACTTAATAAAAACGAAGACATCGTGTTCTTTGAGAGGGGACACGATTACCTATTTTGTCAACCTCCAGTGTCCCCTGCCTGCTGTTACAGCAGGTGTGATGCTGAGAGCCACGAGAGGCGTTGGCCCAGATACCTGCCAGTGTGGAACATTACATCGATGCGAACTGTATTTCTCCTAGGAGCTGATCAGCGACATTCCTCCAGAAGATAAATATATTCTATGATTTCAACTATTTTTTCAACATATCAAATATTTCAAAACAACATAAAAAAGTATTTCAATAACTCTTTAACACTTTAACCACAGTCATTTTACTGTTGCTACCATGGAGGCTGAAAAAATAATAACAAATTTCAACCTCACTGAAGATGTCCAAATGTGGAATAGCCTGATCTTCAGTTACAAAATGCGTTAGTTACACCTTCATTTGAACATGTGTTCTTCCACTGGATTTAATGCATCTCTATGACTAATACTTTGAAGCACAGGCTGTATCAAAGAATGAGTAATTTTATATGTATAGAAGTGTCTGTAGCTTTGCCGTGTACTGTATTGTTTGAGATGGTCCTGCAAGTGAATAAATAGTTTGTATGCCTTTTTGCACTGATATAAAAAGGAATGAACCTGATAAAGAGATATGAGTGTATCTTCATCATAAAGGCCAAAAGCAAAAGCTACTGAACTTTACTTACTCCATTTACTTAAATTTTTTTATTGAGAAAAATGTTGCCAGTTACATCTTTACTGTTTTAAATAGGCCAAACTAAAGCAAGTATAGTGTAAATTCTTATTTGTATAAAGACTACACATCCAGTTGAGCCATAAAGCACTGACTTTGCTGATACACATAATCAGTGTTTTGGACTTTGTACTGTACTTGATGATTTAAGTTTAAATGTCTAACACTAATATTTTAAAATCAAGTAAAGGAGGCTATAATGATGGAAACAGTCTGTGTGTGTGTTTTCTCTTCATCCTCTTCCTGGCCCCTAGTTTGCAAGTGGGCTAAACATGAAAGTACAACAGGCCGTCATTGACTTCCTGTCACTGTGTCCTTGCTGGTGGAGTTCAGTAAATACATAAAAAATGGAAACGTTACACTTGTAGCGCCCCCTATATGAGCCTATCTTGTCTGCGTTGACATGTAGTACATGTGTGGCCTGTTCTCATCAAACACCAAGCTGGCGACTGTTTGAGATCACACTTAGAGCTGCTTGGGAAGACACCGGGGGACTAAGTGACACACACACAGACCAGTGTGCTGTGTGGCCAAAGAAAGGCCAGGCCTGCTCTGCTTCTCATCTCCCCCTGGGGCTTCCTGACCCAGAATAATGCCAGGCAGAAAGTTTGCTTTCTGGGGCTCCTGAAAAGTTGCAGACACCTCGTCCTATATAGAGGACAGATCATTCATCACTCTGCTCTCCCTCTTAGCCCCAGTTCTGTTTTCTCCCTCCTCTGTCACTTCACTCTTCTCATCTCATCTTTGTAGTATTTTCTTTCCTTTGTTTCTATTGGTTATGACACAATACATACAGGTTTTTTAAAGTATTTATCATCCCACACTTCCTGCACCTGTTCCTTCTCCCTGAATCCTTCAGCTGGAATAACCTTTCTTAATTGGCTGTGGAAAACAATGTGCAAAACTATGTGCAGACACTCACTTAAATAAGTTAAACCTAAATGCAGAAGTGTTTTCTGCTCTCAGCTTTTATATGTAAAACAAAGCTTTGAATGTTACCATACTTTTGCTTAAGATAGTTCTGGTTACAACAAAGCAGCAAGAAACAAGACATTGTTGAATGGAGCTGAAGAGTAAACAAGACAAAAACAGGAAACATGTTGATTTCTGTAATAAAAAACAAGTGATGAACGCTCGCTGTGGGGCTGATGGTGGAAAAGATAGACTTTTTCTTTAGAGTGGGACAGCAACAGTGTCATAATCCAAGCTTACTTTCATATCGCTGCAGGCAGGAGCAATGCAGAGAGAAGCAAATAATCAATCATACACACACAGCCTACTCAATATGGTTGGGTGCATTCAGCTCTGTTATATGTGCTCAGCCTCAGGAATCATTAAAAACTGATGCCAAAAAAGCTGAAATATGTTTCTCCCTCATTTGTGGCATATTTCTTTTAATCCTTGACAGCAGAATTGTGCATGTACTTGGCTGTTTTTAATGACAAACTTTCTGGCCATTTTCAGCTCCAGTCTCAGAAGGGAATGCAGTGTTTGTGTTGATGTCGTGAGTTACAACAGCATGCCTTCTCGTCTTTCATAGTGTTGTGTGGGCAGCAGATCCTCAGGGGAAAATGAAAGATTTTATTACATAATAGCCTGAGATTTAAATAAAAAGACTAAGAAATAGGACAGAGGGGGAAAATAACTTTGTCCACTTGACATTGCCTTGACATTTCTGGGTTTGCACCTTGTCTTATGTCTCTCGGCACCCTTCGGAGATGGGGAGGGGGAGAAAAAAAAAGATGTGAAGAGGCTTGAAGAATAGAGGGACGCACTCTTATGTCCCACTTTGCAAACTCTTTGCAGCCTACACTGCCAAGTCAATGTTACACCTATTCCACCTCCCCTAAAGCTTTAAATAGCCCACTCTGCTTCAACAGGACTAACAGAGAAAAACACACAGCCTTCAGCACACTCTGCACCTCCGACTAAACATTTATTATCCCTGTTGCCTAAACATGAAGCCTGCGTCGTGCTTTTCACTCTATTGTTACCATTCTGTCATCTGCAACTATCTGCAGAGGGAGAAGTATAAACACATGTCAGCAGGGCCGGCAGCTGTCACTGAGGGATGTTAAATCTGTCTGGAGCCTTTGAGCCAAGACAAAGACAACCTGTTTTTTTTTCTTTTATATGTGAAAGAATGGTTCAAAATTATGGGAAATACGCTCCAAAGGTTTCTTGCAGAGGTATTTGATAAGAAGATTGATACCACTCTCACGTCTGTCCAATCAATATAAAGCTAGTGTCAGCAGCTGCTTAGCTTAACTTAGTTTAGCATAAAGAGTGGAAACAGTTAGAGAGAGCTAGCCTGGCTCTGCCCAAGCTAACAAAAGCCACCTATAACTTCTGAAGCTCCCCAATTAACTGGATAAATGTATCTAAAGTTATGTTTTATCGGAGGATTATGTGTCGGACTGTTTCTTGGCTGAGCGCAGTTGCTTAGCAACCAGTGGACCCTCCATGATAGCAAATAAGTGTATCTCCAAATAATTCCTTTAAGAGGACATCTTTTCTTACGGCTTGTCATTTTATATAATTTTAGGATTAAAAATAACACAGTATCATTTTAAAGGAACTGTGGATTAAGAGTTTGCTGTAGTAGCGCCATAGAGCCACAGAGATTAACGATTACCTTTAAGATCTAACTTTATGTCTTCGTCTGCCTGTTTCATAGATGACGCTTTAAGGTTTAAATTGGTGGTGACCATGCAGGGTGAGGTATAAATAGATGCTACTTCAATGTTTTGTCGGAAAATGTTATAGTTGGGGGAAAAATATAATTTACTCTCACTGAATAAATAAGTGTTTTTTGACATATGAACCCTTAAAATGAACCAATGTCTACTTTTGTGACCCTTAATTCCAGATTATTATCTTAGTGTTAACACAATTAATAAACAATTATTTTCTAGATTGTTTAATTGAATCCACCTGACTACCCAGCAGAGCCCTATAGCTCCATATATATGTCAACTCTACAGGGAGTTTGTGGATCCTCCATCTGGCTCTCTCTAAGCTCTGTATGATAAATTTAACATCCGCCTATATACATATACATCCAACAGGTGGATCATGACAGTGTGGATATATGTGTGGAAATATGTTTGTGTGTGTTTGCTAGAGGAAGAACAGAAGGAGAGGGTTCCTCACGCTTTGAATGTACATCTGTCAAAGAAGAGCATGAGCAATGAAGTCTTGAGTGCACACACCTAGTCTCCACTGTAGACTTCCCGTGTCTACCATGAGTCACCATCTGTCTGTTATGTAAGTCATCAGAGTTGAGAGGGGAACACTGACACACCTGTATCCTGGCAGGTTTCACTTATCAATCACTTTACACACTATAGCCGCACATGCAGCCTCATACTTGTAAACTGCAGCTAAACATTTAATTATGACTCACTCTGCAGGGATCTAACTGCCGCATTTCCTCATTTAGGTCTTCACTTCAAGCCAATATTTCATTAGTGTCATCAGATGAGAATAGCTGCCCTTGCTCATTTCCACATACATATATTTAGATGTGTGCGTGTGTGTGTGTGTGTGTGTGAGCGGGTGAATGCAGGCATGGATGTGGATAATTTGAAGTGCTTGTGTTAGTTAAGGACAAGAAAAGATCCTTTGGCTGCAGGAGCCAAATCTGCCACCTCCTCACCAGCAAAAACCTTGCTCAAAACCTCAAAACTACCCCCGCAGCCTACAGTACCACATGACCCTATCCCCTGCCACACACACACTGTAAGTATATATATATATATATTTTAAAAAAAACCCTCTCTTCCCCCACATCCTAGGATGTGCTACAGTAATCTAGGGCACACTCACCAGCAATGCAGGTCTTTATCTACAGTTATATTTGCCTGGACAGGTTTTAGTTTTTATAGCTCAGATGATCAACAGGTTTGCAGTGATAAACCCACATCATAGTTAATCATTCAGAAGTGGGGGTCAGCTGATACACGTGTGTGTGTGTGTGTGTGTGTGTGTGTAGGGCAAGTGAATAATGCAACTCGTGTGGAAAAATGCATTATAGTAACTGACAGGATATTTAATGAAAATAGGGCAACTGGGTGCTTTGCAACTACTGGGGCACATTCCTCTCTCTCTCTCTCTCT